CTGTGGTTATTAAGCCCAGTCCAGATTTTCTGAGAACCTAGCGAGTAAACGTTTTACGTGTACTCGATCAACTCATCTTCTGTATTGAGTACACGGGATCCCACGGCTTAAAGTGCCTTCCGAAGAACCCCACGGGCCTTTACATGGGCCGTAATCCATCAATTCACAATGCCATTGATAAAACCAATGATATTTTGAAGAGAAAAGATTTTCGGCACACATGCGATTCGAACCCGTGTCCCCACGCTTACAACGCTAGCACGCTAACCAATACGCTATAGCTGGGATTCCTCCAGAGATTACTATGAGATATTTTTATTCATATGGGATAAAAATATCGCATACAAATAACAGATATTTTTCACGCGTTGCGTTCAACGAAACGCATAAATACACAATAGAGATTCTGCACACACAGAGTCGCTGTTTTTTCGTTATAATCTTCACCTAGGGGCATTTCTCACGAAAAGAATGAATGAATTCTTATAAATTTTGAAAAATTTCTTCCATTTGGTCCGATTCGATCAATTTTTATCAATTCGTGTACCCGTGTGAAAAAGAAATGACTGACTGACTATAACTTCAGTTGACTTTAGTTGATTGAATTTATATTATTGTTCTAAGAAAATCACTTGGTCCCAAATGAAGCAACTTAGATTGACTTGTAACTTCAAATGATTTCAGTTAACTATGATAGACTTACACTACACTTTGTACTGAAATGTCAATCAAAGTAAGTCATTTTTGTCCCAAATTAGTTAACTGACTGCTCAGTTACTATTTTTTCACACGGGTAAATAAATGTTCATTTACACTGAACTTGTGTTCTGGAAGTGGGTTTTGATGGATCTCAATGATTGTTCAGAACTGCTCCCGGTTCTGGAAGTGGATCTTCAGGATGGGCCAGGGCATTGTCAAACCGGATCTGGTCCATCCTGAGGATCCACCAAAACCCACTTCCAGAATCGGGAGCAGTTCTGAACGATCCTTGAGATCCACTAAAACCTACTTCCAGAACACTTTCATTCAAGCAATATCGTCATTTCAGTACATTTTCTTACAATTTCAATAAAAAAGAAGAAATAATAGACATTTTTGCACATTTGCTCAAATTTTTTGTGTGAGAAATGCCCCTAGATCTTTACACTTACGATGAGCTGCGCGGAGCGTGCATGCACATGTTTCGCTCACTTATTTCTTTGAACACATATAAAATATCCCTATCTGTAAAATATCTGTTTTCCTCTAATTGTATATTATAAAATGCAATGAAATATGATTAAATTTCAAAAAAACCTCTTCGTACAAGACTCTTCGTACAAATTCCGTTCATTGATGAATTGCCTATGCCCAAAACTTAGAAATACGAATTTTCTCGGATATGTGGCACATGCTATTTTGTTGGTAAGCCGGCTACAGACGCTCAGTTTTTGGTAAAAAAAATTTCACAAACTCATTTCACACTCCATCACGAGGTAAGAAACATTGCCAAACATGTCACCCCCAAAAAACCACCCCTTCACTTTAAAAACCACCCTTGAAAATAGGTAAATTTTAAGTCACCTTAAAACTCAAAAGGGGACTCTTATCTCGTCAAGATCTGCAACTTTGCGGAAGAGAGTATAGCAAAATTCCCAACCGTTTAGAAGTTAGATTTTCGAAAATCACCGATTTTTCCCAATTTGGGGGCTCCTGGGGAACCGCCCTGTGAACTGGGGGAAGTTATATTTGCCCAAATCGTCATCATTTGAGCCCAACTATCGAATCCAGGTGGAATTTTGTGAAAAAAATTCTGAAACACTCATACGTTTACTGGTAAGAAAAACCTAAAAAATTGACATTTTTGTATGGGAGGTACCCGCAAATCGATTCCGATTGGCTTCAAACTTTCTAAGATCACATTTATTGGAGAACAAACAAGGTTCTGAAAGTTTCATGTTGATCGCATTTGCAGAAGATCGGGGCCCAGAACGCGTAGTTATGTTTTGTGTGCTGCCACAAGTAACTACGCGCCCCACGTAGTATCTATTACGATCTATTACGTTTCCCAACAAAAATGAAAAATATCTTCAGTTGTTTTATGATTTCCTGTAAATGTTTTTTAATAATAATTTCGCATTTTTTTCAAATGTTTTTTTTTTCAAATTCCTTTTTCAATGAACATTATTTGAATCTAAAACTCGTTAAGATAAGTTCTATGACTTTTTACCACTTTTCCGTTCAATGATTCCTGGATTTTTCAATTTGTTTTCTCACGCCATTGTAAATTCTACTCAAACTAGGCCATTAAAACCCATGTCTAGAAACTTCATTTTCTATATAAAAATTATCCAAATAAATTGAATGAAATGTTAAATGAATGTTCAATTTTGCGTGATTTTACGTTTAGCATTGCTACACAGCATGTTTTGTTGATCTCCCAGTATATAACGTACTAGAATAAACTGATTGAAACTAGTACAATTAGCATTTGCCACCATTTTTATTCAATTATTTTTCATATTTTTGACATTTTGAACAATCAAAATAAAATTGAAGTGAGGTTTATTTTGTCACGAGTTGTTTTCCATAAACATATGTGCCGTAAAAATTAAAAATTAAACTTTGTCGAACAAATCCCAATCTGAATACATTCTACTGTTTACTGAAATAGAAGTTTTATTCCCTGCTTCAAAGTCTGTACGGAAATATAAATGAACTGATTAAGTATACCATGACACTCGATGCATTGTATTGTAAACTATACTTTACAAGTAAAAATGATCAATTTTCATCCAATTTACTTGGAATTTGGCATAGATAACTTTATAAGTATACTTGCGTTCACTACGTTGGGCGCGTAGTATACGTTTGAAGTTTCGTTTCCACGCCCGCAGAAGATTGATTTTTGGTCCTCAATTTTTGTCGAAATTTTCTTGGAAAAAGTTGAGGGCCAAAAACCAAACTTTTGACAATGCGATCAACATGAAACTTCCAAAATCTTATTTTTTCTCCAGAGGAAGAAACTCCAGTAAGTTTGAAGACATAAGCAATCGATTTACGGGTACCTCCCATACAAAATTGTCGAAGTTTCGATTAAAGTGACCGAATTTTCAAGAATATTAAAAATAACTCAAAAGTACGGACAATGGTACGGAAAATTTTGGGATTACGAATGTAATTTTTTTTATTTTTATATACATCCGCTCTCGAATTTTATTTCTATTATCCTGATACATGTTTATATTGTGATGATACTTGCTTTTAATTTGTTACACAGTAACAATACGAATTTTGATTTTGACAGAGGAATATTATCCAATATTTTTAGAAGATACTTAAAATTTATTCAATTTGTTTGATATTTTTCTCTTTGCTAATTATAAGTAGTATTTTTCTATTGCTAATTATAAGTATCGAATTTTTAGCGTAATTTATTCCCATCATATTTTATGGTTAAAATAGTTCAATTTTTTTCTGATATCAAATTATATAAAACGTAAAATAAAAATCTTTTTTACACAATTTTCTTTCCTGTAGACCGAAACCATTATAAGTCCTAATAACAAATTACAATAAAATAAAAAGAAGATATCATGTGAATTTTATTAAACCGCCTTTAAACCATCAAGAATAATGCCCAACATTTTTTTAAGCAGCGATAGTGTCAAATCGATGTTTATTCTTAACGTTTTAAATTTCTCTTATATTTTCCATTGTATGCCAGAGTGTTTGTGTTCACTTCATTTACAGCGATTGGCGGAAAAAGAGAGAATTTTTGTCACAATCATACACATTAACATTCATACACATTTTCGTCGCTTTATGACAGAAACACTGAATATAATGAAAGAGAGATAGCGTCGATTGATTCGAATGTCGGAATGCATGAAGAGCGGCAAAAATTGGTTCGGTTCAACAGCAAGAATGACACAAAAAATGCTCTAAAATCGAATTGTCTTGGCGTAGTTGTGTGTTGTTGTTTTGATGTATCGTCCGTACTGAAAAGTTGTGACTCGGGCAATTGTGCGCGGGCGATATGAAAACAAACGAACATAGAAATGTAAATGGATTGAAACATACAGAGGCATAGCGAGCAAAAGAGTGTCGGATGAGGGCTGTAGGTTCAAGTTGCTGATATCGAAGTATTACTTCACTTCGTGCATACATATGTATTACGTATATACGTACATTTATATACGTAAGTTTATATGGAACATTTTCAAATGAGCTGAACGAGAAAATTCCATTAAGCACACACATACACCGTATATTTGTGTATTTTTTTCCTTTTTGTTATACATTGACATAAAATACGATAGCCAAACGGGACCAAAGTGTAAGCACTCATTGCCTTTGTAAGAGTAATATTTTTTTTGTGGCGTTCTTTCTATTTTTTGCTCCCGGTCGCTATATGAAATTATGAAATGCTGGTGTGCATGAGTCTCTCGAATATTTAATTTATTTATTCTTTAAGACTCCATAGAATACTCTGTGGTGCTGCTGCTGCCGCTGCTACTGTTCTTATTTCGTCACTTTGAGTACATAGAGCCCATCCATTTGTCTCACTTTGGAGACTCTGGAGAAATGAATTGTATTTCAACATTTCACAAAGCAACAAAATATGAACCATCACACAAAATGTATATGGAAAGAAAGAGATAGACGGTGAAACACCGATAAGAGCCATGACGGTAACAACCAGAACAACAACCGACGAATTTATGTACTCACTATTATTCTTGTACGTACGTTTCACGTGGATATCTAATACGTCAATCGTATTGCAGAAATATAATATACAAATCAAGAAGGTAAAAAAGAGCAACCAAATATGGCATCAATAACAAATGCCAAAACCATTGGTGAAAAAACACTCCGTACAAAATAAATGAAACAGCAAGCAATGAACAACAACAACAACAACTCCATGACACAGTCGGACACACTCTCATATATTGACTCACCAACACACAAATAAACACACACAAATGCGCCAAATGAGATTACTATAGCCTCCAATCATCATCAGTAAAAGAATAGTAGCCGAACGAATCGAAAGAAATATATGTGTATCGCTCATCGACAGCTATTTTTCTCTCTCGCTTCAAACGATCGATTCAAATACCGCAAATAAAACAAAAAGTAAAATGTTTCGATTGCATCGAATACTTCAAGTATCACATTGAAAAAATCAAGCTAAAAAACCATCGATTTTGAGAGCAAAACGCTTCCGTTCATTTTGTGCCGTTTTAATTATCACCATAAAGAACGCCAAAAAATACCAAAGTAATTAAATAGCTCAAATAAGTGATGAAAGTTCGTTTTAATATTTAAATTTAAAAGAAGACAAAGCGTCCACAGAGCACAAAAAATAACAGATGTCATGGACATTTGAATAGGAACTGCCAATTAAAACCACATCCAAAATTGGCATATAGATTGAGCCCATTTTAATTGTGGCATTTTCGATGCATAATATGTTTGTAGCAAGTAAAAACTACATCAGCGACAATTTTTGGCGTTGAACCAAAAGCCACGTACAAATTCAATTGACAATTTACATTAGTTAAGTGTGCTGGAGAGAAGCAAATGAATTCTTGAAATAGTTTTGCCGACAATTCCATACAATACAATACAAAATACACCACAATACAAACTATAATACAAACATCAAACGTGTGGCCGGGAATTATCAAACCACATCATGTTGATAAGCGGATGAATGAACGAAAGAGCAAACAAATGAAAAATACGTGTACACACGATTGGTCGTGAAAGGAGTAAAGAAAAGTAAAGTAAAGTGAAATTAGAAACGGCACACATACAGTCAATTGACTCACACAAGACTGTATGAGAATGAAAACACACATTGATAATAATGTAACGAAAGCTGGAACGAAAGCAAAAATAAAATACTAATTGTACTCACAATTTTACACGACAGCACTAAGTGAGCGGTTGGTGCTACTACAGCTCTTTTCTTTTTTTTTCCTCTGTAGATGTATAACAGTGTGGGTTAACTGCTTCTCCATTTTTTTCTCTCATCTATTCAATTCATTTCAATGCTCGATATACAGCTGTCCATAGAATACAATAGTTAAATCGGTCGGCTAACGATTTGGTTGTGTGTCTGTGAATGTGAGAGTAAGTGAGTGTAAGTTAGCCATAAGTCGCTTTTGTTTGTTTTTGCATTTGAAGTAAAAATTTCTTTGATTTTTTTCATTCTATCATAATCACAGCTGTAATTTATTCTCAACCGAATGAAAAGTTCCAGGAATCTATGTTTGATTGGAATTCTATTTGGTAAGAGAAAATAAGAAAAATATCTTCTCAGTCTTTAATTTAGCATTGATTCAAACGACTTGACATGAGCACATCGTATCTGTTTATGTGATTGAGAGAGAGAACTTGTTGAAACTTGAATTTGCGTTTTAACCAATTCAATCTGAATTATGCAAATTTCTTGGCATTGCCGGCCACTTGAGAAACAAAATTCAAAATCCACGAAATGCAATAATTTTTCATTCTCGAAATAATCATTAGATATTAGGAATCGTGTATATTTTTGTTGGCTGGTCGTGTTTGGCTTTTTCGTCTATTCATTTCAATCTTTCTTTCTATTTTTTCGATTCTATTTCTGATGCGGTAGATATTCCGATTTGGCCGATTTGATTGTATGTATGAAAAGAGTTAATGCGGAGGTAGAGTAAAAAAACACAAAAACAAACACGAGCTGATAAACTGAGCACACAACGGTAGAGAAAATGCTACTTAATCGTCGTGTTTTCCAGAACTTTGAATGTAACCGGTTGCGACGGCATCAAATTTTTTACAGCATTCGATATAAAGCTTTGGGGACATGTTTCAATAATAATACCATTGGCTCGGGACGCCAAATCGTTCGCACTAAAAGTGATATCATCACGCACAATGCTCAAATTCAGACTCAATCACACTCGGCTATGGGCTTTATTCAGCAAATACCAAAACACAATCCGTTTGAATCGAATAAGACGCTGCCATATGAAGCGATCCCATGTGCTGATCCATCCAATACCTGCAGCATAAGTAATTTCATTGCAGTTACATCACATCAATTCAGACAGTTGCTAACTTCTAAATGGGATAATCGTTTCCACGAGGAAATTGACGAATATCATTTCAAATTTGGGCCAATTTTTCGTAAATCACTTAAACCCGGCATAAATGGTGGGTTTTTTTCTTCCAACAATTGCAATTAATTATACTAACAATTTCTGAAAAATGTTATGTCTGCGTCAAATCTAGTTTTTTTCTAGTCAAAAATTATCATGAAGTTTCAACAAAATTTTATTATCTTAGCAATTTTTATAAAATCGCCGGAGCTGTTGCATGACGTATTTACTTACGAAGGAAAGTATCCGAAGCATCCGTTGCCTGAGGCCTGGACATTTTACAATCAGTTGCACAACTGTCAGCGAGGTTTATTTTTTATGGACGATGCAGAATGGATGGAAACTCGTAAAAAATTGGCGCCGTTAATGTTGCGCAATGACCAAAGATTTTCAGCAGCAATCGAATGTGCTACAGACAATTTGATTGACAATTTTAAACAAATTGCTGTTTATCGTAATCAATTTACCGAATTGCCACAAGTATTGACATCATTGTACGGTTGGTCCATTCACGTGTTGGTGGGCATTATATTTGGCAACAAGGCTCCAGCTATTTGCAATGAATTGCGAACAACAATTGATCACTTTGCGCAAATTGTACAAAAAGTATTTGAAGATACGGTGCCATTTTCAAGCATTTCCCCCCAATTAGCGCGTAAGCTTCATTTACCCATTTGGACAAAATTTGAAAGGAGCGTTACCGATACGCTCAACATAGCCAATGAAATCATTGATTTCGGTCTGAAGCAATCCAGATGCGATGGTTTATTGGCTGAAATGAAAGATTTGGGTATGACAACTCAAATGATTAAGCGAATTTTCATCGATTTAATTATTGCTGCCGGTGATACCACGGCCTTCTCAACACAATGGGCTCTGTATCTACTTTCAACGGACGAAAGACAACAAGAGATGATTCGGCAAGAGCTTTCCAACACAAATAAATTGGACGTACCGCTGTTGGTTCGGGGCACAGTGCGTGAAACGCTACGTTTGTTTCCCGTGGCTACTTTCATCGGTCGAATTTTAAACAAAGATGCCATTTTAAGTAACTATCGTGTTGGCAAACACACATTGATATTGATATCAATGTATAGTGCTGGTCGTGATGAAACTAGTTTTCCGCATGCTAATGAATTTCGACCGTGCCGTTGGAATCGCCATCCGACCACCGGCACGCTTAAATTGGTTAATCGAGCACAAGGTTCAATACCCTATGCAATGGGCGCCCGCAACTGTATCGGACAACGCATTGCCAACGCTCAAATGCACATCATTCTGACGAAATTACTACGCACATTCAAAATTCAACTGTTGAATGCAAACGAGATTGATATTGTCATGCGCTTAATTATAATGCCCAGCAAACCAATGCGATTCGCTGTCAAACGGATCGATTAAATTACTCTAAGGTCAACTCAATGCCATTGTTTTTATTTTCAAATAGTATTATAGTAAGTAATTATCATTCGCACGAAATACATTCTAATTTCTGGTGGAAAATATATTAGCTCGTTTTAAAACAATTTAATAAAACCAACCAAGCCAACTAGTTTTAACTCTATTCAAAGCATGAGCAAAGAATTGGGCGAGTTTTTGTAGCTTATAAATATACGCAGTAGCAAAAATGTGGAATGAAATTAGTGTAAAACTCAATTCCAAACAACGATGTACAACACATCGTGTATATGCGAGAGCAAGAGTTGGATTTAATTGATAATGTAAGTACTGAGATAAATTATAAATGTGTATTTTCCATTATCTATACATTCACACGATATTTACAAATGAAATAAGTAATATACACAAAATATGTACGATATTTATGGACATAACCCAATACCCAAATTTGCGTGAAATTTATATCATATGCAGAATATTTGGAATCATAATTGGTGTTTTCTTCAACACTATTGTCACTGTTTTGAATACACTTTACGATATGTCTTTGTATTTAGCCCCTAGACAAACTTATGATTCAAGAAAAGCTAAAGCTAATACAATTGGAAGATTAGATATGTTGTAACTGTTGTAACTGGTGTAACTTTAGTTAAAACTATTAAGTGGCATTACTAATTAGCGAATCTGCAGAATTGAAACGAGAATGAAATGAAATACAAAAAAAGGTAAACAAACGTAGAAAAGATCCACTTCGTTTGACGTAGATTGTTATCGTTGGAATGGAAGCTAATTTGAAGTGTGAACATATGGTTTTCATTTACAGTTTTCAAACTAAAATATCTATTCAGTATCTTCTCTTTTAATTGCTTTTATTCTTATAGAAGACGAAAACAATTGTATGATACTATGGATGTTATATTCTTCTTTATGTCCGCTTAAATCCAATTGATGTATTTTAACTGAAATTACTTGAGGTGATTACTCCGCGCAACAAAAATAGTTTAACGAACAGTATAAATTTCGTCAAATGCCTTGCATTGCTGTGTGGTGATTTCAAACTTTTGCAATCGTTATTTGAATATTTGTGTGCACACCAATATCTTTATTTTGTAACATGATCAATATATACAAAAAATTACACTAGAGTGAGTCTCAAGCCTTATCACTTTGTCTATGGATGGGTGTACTGTTCCTATTTATTATAATCAAGGAACAGCCTAGGCTTTGGCTTATTTTGAAGTATCGAGCTTATTGCATGGATTGGAGCCAGAAAAAGCCTGAAACATTATTTTAGACAGAATAATTATTTTCTATTGCGTTTTGATGCAAATGGAACATCTGTACAACATGAATCAACACGTCATTATATTTCTTTATCCAAAATACGGTAACATATAATACTGATTAAGAGAAAAATAAGCCGAACAGAAAATGATTATTTTGCAAGACAGTCAGAATATAATTCATTTTTAGTTATCGATTTTATGAACAGAATCGGATTACTCGTTTCTGATAACTCCGTTCAATAGAATGTGATGTCGACAAAAAAAACTTTGTATTCTTAAACGGCTGACAGCTAGTCTGCCAAAAATGGGAATTGGCGATCAACGCGAATATTATTTAGAGTTTATGTTTCTTTTGAAAGCAAAGTGTAAACAAAACCAGACGGTTAGGTTTTGTGCATGCGACACAATTTGAAATAAATAAATTGGCTTTGAGATGTATTGGAGGCATTTGCTTATGAACGAATTCAAACTGAATTGGCTTGCATCAAATGTAATTATGCATCACTAGTAGCCTCAATTAAACGCAAGGTCTTCCTTTGGGCGAGAATATCGACATTATGACATCGGTCGAAAACAACTTGGAATATTTGGAACGTGAAGAATTTCACGAGAAATATAAAAAAGTGTTGAAGCGAAATCAATGATGTGTTGTGTCAGAATAAGGAACCATCTCAAATTTACGTCAAAGACTTGACTCCGCGCGAGATCGTATTATTCAAATACGCGCCAACAACATCCACCGATTTTAAAAGGTCTTTTTCTGATTACAAAAATGTTTCTTGAGACAGACGCAAAAAATTTCTATGTTTTTGAAAACCTCAAACATCACGTGATTGTGCATTACAACTGCGACAAATTATAAAAACGTTTCTTTTTATTAACTAAATTGGTTATTTTGGTGTTTTATTCGTTTTTTATCGAGCCTATTTACGAGCCTATTTAGTCATTTTTCCAGCTTTTTTAGGCGCCTAAAATTCATTTTTCCGAGCCTAATTTTATCTTCCTTGATCAGTTCCGTGAAAACCGTGAAAAACCGCGACGACCCGCTAAAAATGAACTTCTCTTTATTGCTACGAATTTGGACAAACTTGTGTTCTTCTAGGTCTCACCAATTTTTTTTTTTGATTATTTGGGATTATTTTTGTACTAGATTGCATTATTTGAATTATACAAATCTAGTACTTTCCCCCTTGCTATGAACTCATAGGAACATTCTTAAACTTCGAAATTTTGTTGACAGGCATATGGGACTCTTTAGTGCTAATTAAATTTCACAGTTCAAGAATGTTTCTATGCGTTCATATGAGAGGGATATGATATGAAGGGTTTTTGGTTGTAAACAATAAAATATACTGCGGAAAAAGCTAGTATACAATATATTGTATAGCTAGCCTATAGGTATGCTATTTTCTAAATACATTATTCTGATATATTCCTGGCAAAATTCAACAGTCAGGACACGATATTTTTTCATATTGTAAATTTTTACAATAGCGAATGCGCTATTATATTGTCACTCAAAATGGTATCGGTTGTTCTAATTGGTAAATACACGCACAGTGTCACTCCATTTTAACCTCATCAAAAGGTTTTTCATCTGATAAAATGAGGACCAGTAGCAATACTGATGAAGTACCAAATAACGACAACAAGCATTGATGAGCGCTGATAGAAACTTCATTGCTTATTTAATGGTGATCCGGATAGGTGAAAACGATGAATATAAACAACAACTTAAAGAGGAACCTAACTACAAGAAAAATAGCGATAACTTCAAGTTGCAATTTCCTCAAAGTGTCATAAATCAAGAACAACACATACTTTTGATACGAAGAAGGGTAAGAATATACTTAAGCAAGCACACGCTCATCACCGATCAAACGAATGAAAGCGTCACAATTGACTGAAACAATGAAGTAAACGTAGTTTTTTCTACGTTGTTTTTGCTCATGCGATGAATATTTTTAAGAGAACAAACATTTTCGAAAAAGAAAAAAATGAGAAGATGACGATATGAAAAGTTGAGTGAACGCATCGAGAATTCGTTATGCTCTTGCCGCACTATACTAATACACATTGCACAAGAACAATTACCGGATTATGGCAATTCTGAGCTCATCCATCGAATAAGCCACAATTGATATTCATATGCATTAAAATGAATGCCATTAATGTAATTACAATTCTATGGGTGAGATTGGGAGTAGAGTATGTGTTTTCTTTGATTTAAATTTTTGAAAAGGCGAGTGAGTATGTTTTCTGATGATTCTGTTAGCGTTAAAGTAGAGTATGTTTTCGCGAAACCAATAAGAGATATAGACAAAGCTGTAGTACTTGAGGTCCTTTATAACTTTGCTGAAGACAGTTATCTATCATCCGAATCATTAAGATTTTTTTTGACCCCCCTTTTCATAAAATAAAACCGTAACATAAAGTTGTTAAGTCAATTGTTTTGATTTGCGTTGGTATTGGTTGTCTCCACTGGGTCGGTGCCACCGTGTTAAGTATATTTGCTGTCGTGCGTGAGTGAAAGAGATTCTTTCACTCTCTCCGATGCGTTGTAATTTCGCAATGTTTCACAAAGTGAAAATAAAAGTGAAACATACCTATGTTTTTCTTTCATTTTCACTCTGAACATGTTGCATTGGCACAACTTTACTTTACAGAACTATTTGGAATATGAATATTTTTTTGATTTTCTTTTTGCTCTAGATTGCTTATGGTCACTACATTTCATTTCTAGGGTGCGATTCGCAATTTCATGATGTCAGGAATACATGGAATCAGACCAAATCCTGAGAACCCATGGATCAGCCCGAATCCATTGGATTTGAACTTTGGGCCATAAAACCAGCCGGGTGTCTATGGAACTCAGACGTAGGAGATGATGCAGAGAAATTTTTGCCAAGTGACATCGCAAGTGTTGTGAATCTGATCATCAAACAAAAAGACATCAAAGTGCCAAGTCGCGATCCAAACAAACTCGTACGGTGTGAGGTGTTGTATGATATCGTGAGAGATTGCAATGTGTTCCCAGAAATCGATCTGCATGACCTTACAACTGACCCAAAACATTGGTATAAGGCCATGCCAATGTACCTATCTATGCAGCGCGAGATAGAAGAGTACAATTCGGAGTGGCCACATCAGCGCCGACCCAAACGTAAGAAAAGAAAGCGAAAAAAGACAAAAGGAAAATGGAAACGCAAGCGCAGCCAAATGCTCGACAACCCAGATTTTCGGCCATTCATCCGAAATTTAGTAGTGGTGCCGATGTGTGATTTCCGGCGTACGCACTTCAGAATCGATTGTTCATCCATGCACCAGGTGTTGTCTTCGCAAAAATTGCTACCGAAAGTGGAAATCGAGAATAAAAAAGGAACAACAAGCACGAAAACGATTCAACAAAAGGATTTCAACCGGGACAGAGATTATTGGTGGAATCAGTATTTTTACATGCGAAAAATTCGACGATTCGTGCGTGCCAAAAAGCAGTTTGACTATTCCATAAACACCGATGGAATCTCTGTGTCTCTTCAGTACTCGGCCAAAAAGAAGACAGCCAACAAAGAAATCGACCAAAAATCTCGCATCATTCAGAAGATTGAGGATGGCACAATCAAAAATTTTTCGGGCGTTGATACAGGCGTGCGAAGTTGGAATACCACAACAACACACGACATTGAAACTGGCAAAGAAGTAAGTTTTGTATACATTCGAATAAGTTGTGTGTATTTTAATAGAAAATGCTTAAGTGCCAAAACTCAATAACTATACCTTTTTTTTCTATTTATTTTTTCAGACCAACTTTGTAATGTCGAGCAAGCAATTCCACTGGCAAACAGGTCAAAAGGTGCGAAATGCCAAAGCAAAGCGATGGACCAAAAATTTCGTCGAAATGGAGCGCGCAGACAGAGAAAACCGTGATCTGTATCCAGTGATGCCGTCGCCAAAAGGGTCAATGTGGCTGAACTACATCAAACACCGAGTCAAGATGATGAAGCATGGAATCTGCGCTTACTCGACTGCCAAATACACTCGACTCGCCTTGGACAAACACATCAAGAGCAGTAGTGTTGTCGACGAATGGGTGAATAAGGTGACCGATAAGAAACCGACTCTGTTCTTTTTTGGTGCTGATGGCGAAATACCACCTGATAGCCCAATAAGTATCAAGAAGCACGTGCGCTGCCCAGGGGTGCGTAAGACTTTGAGGTCAATAAAGAAGCGCCGAGATTGTTTCATACAATTGGTGGACGAATGGGGAACATCTCAAACCGACGCAAGATGTATGAATCGATTCCAAAACCAGAACAAAGCGGCCAGATTCAAGAAATGCCGATGCGTACCCGACGCCAGAACATTGCTGCCAACGAAAATTGTGTCAAAGTTGGGCAAAACGGATCTATCGATCTACCGACAGTTGCAACGCGCCATGAACGAAGAAGCATTGGTAGGAGACGAGCGTTTATTCCCAAAAGTAAAATGTTACTACAAAAACTGGCGATTAAACCTCGAATGCTCTGTGATTTGGCATCGTGACGTCGTGGCTGCTAAGAACATTCTACTGAAAGGTAAGGCTAATTGACGCACAATTTCGATTGAATGATTTTTTAAGAAGTTTCATTTGTTTAATTGTTCAGGACTATGGACATTACTGGGACTTCCGATACCAGAGGCGATCAATAGGTATTGGCGCGAAGCTGCTGAAGCAGCCGCTGCTGTTGCCGCTGCTGCTGCCGCTAGAGCAGCCGCTGCTGCTGCCGCTAGAACAACCGCTGAAGCAGCCGCTGCTGCTGCCGCCATCGTGGATAATGATGTAGAAATGTTCGAGTACGACCAGCAGCCAGCTGATCATGCTGTCTAATCAGCACATTGCAAACAAAAAAAAAAAACAAATGTAACATTAGTTATTAAAGGCTATCCCGATCATGTGGGATAGTTGCGTTGAAGCAAGTTGACTCCCCATCTGGTTGATGTTAACTGCGCAGGAGTACTCTAGTGGGTCGTTTAGGTAAGCATTATTCGATTTTGCAAAGAGTTTTTTTTTCTTCTGGAAGTGTTGTATAACGCTCTATTAATGCTACCAGTTGACATAAAATTGGCTTCTCTTTAAATTTATGCTATTCATTCTTCTTTTTCAGATTAGCTGAACACCCTAGTGTAGAGACCTTGTGAGAATATAAACGACACATATTGTAGATGTGATAAAGTTAACAAAAATTGGTTCCAAACGCTTTTTGTATGACGTTGTTCAATCAATCGAAGCGAACTTGTGTTGTAAAACAATTTGTAAGCATTTCGTATGTTTATCACGTTTGGAACATGAAAAATCATTCGAAATACTTACGATCTGACGAGGGATTGCTGTTTTTTATGTAATTTTCCCGTCACTTCTCTCATTCTGCCCCTCTTATACTAGGCCATCACAATGCACGAAATTAAAAACAGAATTATTATTGCTGGTGTTGTAGGTATTTCTTCTTTCATTAACTATGTCATTTCATGTTGTACGAGCAACATTTGGCCGGTACGATGTCTATCCTTGGATGGTTGCAAACTATGGTTGCAATGAAGCGTGCACCATTAAACATACCGCTCAAATTGTTTTAAATAAGTTTTGGTGTTTTTTTGCATCCATGTCAGGCTTTAGTAAGATACAGAAAAATTCTCCACGTATCGCATCGTTATAAATTTAATAATATGCTGAGTCTTTTTGACGCACTTTTACCTACCTATATATTCATTGTATTAACAGGAACCATCATAAAGTATCTCCATCGGTCATCAATACATTCGTGAATATGTGGAATGAAACATAGAGCGAATAACAGAAAGCAACGAATGCGGACTGCTGTCAAGTATTTACATGATTAATTTCGCCTTTGACATCAGTCAACATCCATTAAAGCCATGTAGTTAAAGGCAAAAAAATTATCCAAGACTACTTGATACGCTTTTCACTTTCTAGCATTTTCATAAAATACCTTTGGATACAAGTGTTGCGTTTGAATTTGTCGACAATGTATTATCACCAGAATTGAAACTAAACCGCATTCTTTTGCAATAAAATTGACACTCATTTTGAATGAATCAATTACACGCAAACCTTACTGCTTATTTATTCAATATCTTGAAATCCAGCAAATAAAGTGGTGATACATTTCAACGAGTGCAATGATTATAAGATTTAGTCAGAGTATTCAATCAAAAGACGATGAAAAGCAATAAAGAATATTCGAAATTCGAATTCATATTGCGGTAAGTTTCAGACTTTAGCTATCAGTCAATATACAGCCAGTTAGTAGAGCATGAAATGTTTGCAATGCATCTTTTTGATCCGTTTCTCTTCATATATTTCAATTTACCTCAAGTTCTGTTTGCTCGTTCAGCAAGCTCATCGTGTTCCACAATTTGTGCTCTTCTTCTTCTTCAAACATTCAATTCATATTTGATTCATTTTGTTCATATTGCACTAACTAGTAAACATATCATGGCATCACAGAACTTAATGCTCGATCAATTTTGCATCCGCTACAGAAACTATATAATTTCCACTCACAGCTACCTAGAATTAAAGAGCCGCGTTGTTAGCCCCCAGTTATTTTATCTGAAAAATTTGGTTTATGAGATGTGTGCGGATAGTCAGTCGAATGCCGTGTGACACTATGATATGTTTACTGGTGAATATGATTTCATATTTTATGAATGAAACAAACATACAGATGGTAGGTATTAAAGTCGATCTTATATAATAACTTTTGAAAAGAACTATTTTTCTACTTCAATAGCGTCGTTGATATCATTTGAATAAATATTGAAATTCTCAAACCAGGACCACGCCCGCAAAATGAAATTCAGTATAGCATACCTACGTTTTGATGATAAATCACAATATCATGCTGTATTTAGATGGAGATATTTTTTTTATCAAAGCGAATATCTAGAAAAAAAGAAGAAACACAAGATTCTGTTTGGTTTTTTATGCTTTTTTTGTCTAACCACGGTAAGTTTTTATTGGCCATTTTTTACATTTTTTTGAAATCATTTTTATCCATTGTTATTTATTGTGTTTTTTGTAGTGTATATAAACATTTTTGGAGTTTTTGTCATAGATTTTTTTCTAGATTTTTCTGGTCTGTTTATTTTTGTCTATGTATTTGAATGCTCTTTCACTTTAATGAATATAATAATTACATTACATAATATAAATAGGCTATAATCTTTAACACACATCGTTTTCCTGTTTCACCAGCGCACATGGCGTTCATATCTCGTTCAAATATTCCTCAATGTATTTTAGCTTTTCAACAATCTTCATCGTCGACGCATAAGTAATTGATTTCGTCTGTTTTCAGTACTAATAACCTCCACACTATCTCTCTTTCGATGTGTACTTTGTATCAGTGTCTGTGTCTTTTGTATGTGAGTGTATTTTTGATGTCCACTATATAGTAAATAACTTTTACATATTAAAAGTGTTTGCACAACAGTATGATAATTATATGTAATGAATTTCCATCCATTTTTTGGTTGTGGAAGTTTTGTTTTATTTCATGTTTAGTGGCTTATTTATTATGTCCAGTATGCATTTTTGCTGGCTATTTTGTTGAAAAGTTTATTTCTGACAGACGACAACACATACAATATACATTTTACAGCTGGGAAAATGGATCTTCAATGCTTAGCTGTTTGTCTCGTTTTGCTCTTATAAACGCAACATCGTCATTGGTATTTTTCTGTGTTGGCATAGCATATGTTTTGTACAAAACATCTATCTCACTCCAATGCATCAAGATTTTCTTTGAATTTACTACTCATTTTTTTGACAATTTCATAGTCACATATGAGGCTGTGAGAATAAAAATGGCAATACAGGAATAAACATTCTGAAACGCATCAAGAAAAAAAATTCGCAAAAATGAATCATGCGTTCTGAATATGCAAAAGTGAAACATGAATTTACATGGGCAGCATAGGGGTTCATGGTTCACTTTTGCGTATTCAGAACTCATGATTCACTTTTGCGAATTTTTTTTTCTTGATGCGGTTCAGAATGTCCATTCCTGTATTGCCATTTTCATTCTCACAGCCTCATATTTGTGTTTTTGAAGTTATAATATCTGATAAATTTCCAAACAATATTGACTTTTGCCATTCATGTTTTATTTCGTTTCATTTGTTTCTCAACTTTAGATACAATCCCCATTAATCACTTAAATATTTTTTGCTTCACTCCTAAAATTAAATTAACCAGTAAAAATGAACCAAAACGAATGAAGAAAATAGACAAGAAAATCATATTATATATTTTATGTATGATTAAAAAAGGAATTTTTTCAAAATTAACCTTATATTCGTTTACGTTTTTAAATGAAACTGAACTTAAAATGTAAAACAAAAGAAAACTGATGAAGAAAGGAAGAAAACCGTTTGTTTTTAGCGCTGCGCATTTTTTATAAATCTGAACAATTTCCATGAATATGCTCGACTATTTGTGGTGATTATATCATTTTCACATTTCATTGACTTTTAACGTTCAGATAAATCGAAACATTTGGCATCGCTTCGGGCATTCGCATATTAAATTTTGTGTGGAAGTCTTATTCGGATTTTCGTTGGAGAAAAAAATTGGTGTAATGCACTACATGCCTAACGCCACTTTCTAGATCGAACAAATGACTCAAAAAAGTAATATTCTGCACCAGTATGAAAGTAGTTGAATTTAGCGAACTCGATCACAATCACCGCAACAATTTTCCCTACATTCCGTTTCAGAAAACGATTACTTAATAAATTCATTAGACTCACCAAGAGAATTATTAAGTCAGTTTTTTTTCGAATCAGAAAAGATTTCTTACAAAGAGTGCGACTACTTGTTGAAACATTACAATTTTTACCGAAAAAAGCCGATATAAGACAACAGTGATGGAAATTTATTGCTTTTTATTCAAAAATACCTGATCATTTTGCCAAAAAATAGCAGTTTACCTTGCCTACAATCGCTATTTCGATCATTTCCCATATAAAAGTGCCATTTTCGGGGAAAATGTCAAGAAATGTCGATTTTGGACCAAAGAACATGCCAGACGATTCCCCAGTCGAAAATTATCCCGAAAGAGGCGGCGCATATCAATGCCTACAAATCAGACTCAATACAATACATATACAGAAGAATCCTCATTCTTCCTACAGTTGTGACCGATGTGTGGTGTGGCCGAATGCTATCGCATGCCGCTATTACAAGTGTATATTTGTCAAAACATCCCGTTAGGATTTGGTTCTCAATTATAAGAATTCAAATACTTTACACTCGCACACACAAAGGAACACGCTCAAAACATGTAAATACCGATAAGGTGTCTGCGTTTCATTTTTCTGAATAATTCATGTTAGTGTGTGGTATGAAAATCGGTAGATACTACAATATGGCTTGTTGCCTTTTTCATACAACCGTGAGCAGTGAGCATCACTGTGAGCTATGACAATACAAATAAATAACTATTCATTTCAATACGTGTTGGTCATCCTTCACTCAAGCGTCGGTTGTAGCGTATTACGCACGCTCATTGAAGTGTGAAAGGGACAATCGATCATATTGTACTATCGTTTATCTTCTGTATTACGCATCACTGTAGATGACACAGAGAGCGACAGATACCGAAATATATCATGTTTGCGGACACTGCATTCGTGTTTGTGTATCTCTGTGAGGGAAACAACGTAAGATCTGTGTGGTTGTTGATGTTTACCAAAATGAAACACGAATTGAAGCACTAGAGCGACATCTGACAAGATTATTCCCATTGGGAAGAAATGAGTCGATTTTTGGGTGAACTTTTTTATGGGTAAGTAGGTGTTCGGTTGTTCAATGTTCACAGACCCCCATTATTTTCGCAAAAAAACATCGGTTTGTCTTGACCAAAGCCCTGGCAAATGGTTTTTTCGAGTACTTCCAATACAAATGTACCATTTTACAAGGGTTTTCAGGTCATCAGTCCGAGGCTGATAGTTCGAAATTGGTAGGTCAGAATGGGCTCAAATTTTAATGGTTCCTTTTGCAGTTTGCAATTGCACAAAAAACGTGCACGCGAACAACGCCATACCCACATCGCAATTTTGCACATTTTTTCTAATTAACAACATTTTTTTTTTGGGGGGGGGGCAGATAGGTCTTGATGATGGGGATTGTACCCATTGCCATTTCCTACATGAGATAGTGG